TCAGAACTCATCAGCGAGCGGCTGCAAAGGGGGATGACGCAGCCAGGACTGGCCTTAGGGGTGTGCGAGCTGTGTGGCCACACAGGACGACATGGAGCAGGGGCACCAGGATTTCATTATTCTCCACCTGGGTCTATGGGAAAGACAAAAGCGAGTGGGGTGGGGGTGATTACCGAGCAGCGAGGCAGCGACTGGGGTGGGAGTTGAATTACTGATCAGCGGGGGAGGAGCTTACCGTGCCTGTGTGTGACTGAATCTTTGCCTGTGTGTGAGTGTCTGTAGAAGTATAGATCATGGTGTTGCAGTGGATGTGATCTATTTGGATTTTGCCACGGTATTTGATACAGTTCCACACAATAGATTCATGTTCAAACTCAAGGAAATCGGTCTAGATGAAAATGCTTTGTTCTTTGGTAGAACATTGGCTTAAAAACAGAGTACAAAGAGTTGTCATTAATGGTAAATTTGGGTCTGTTCTGGGACCCCTTCTATTTAACATGTTTATAAATGATCTTGAAGAAAGCATTGAAAGTCATGTTTCAGTGTTTGCAGATGACACAAAACTTTGTAAAATAATACAATGTGAGCAAGATATTACTTTGCTGCAGAGGGATTTAGATAGACTGGGGGACTGGGCACTTAAATGGCAGATGACATTTAATGTTGAAAAATGCAGAGTTATGCACTTCGGCATAAAGAATACACAAGCAACGTATACCCTTAATGGAAGCGAATTAAGGATAACAACACACGAAAAGGACTTGGGAATTGTTATAGACAACAAACTATGCAACAATGTGCAATGTCAATCAGCAGTGGCCAAGGCCAGTAAGGTATTGTCATGCATGAAAAAGGGCATTCATTCTCGGGACGAGAATATAATTTTGCCTCTTTATAAATCACTGGTAAGACCACATATTGAATATGCTGTGCAATTTTGGGCACCTGTTCTAAAGAAGGATATTATTGCACTAGAAAAAGTGCAGAGACGGGCTACAAAATTAATAAAAGGAATGGATCATAGCTATGAAGAAAGGTTAACAAATTTAAACCTATTTAGTTTAAAATAATGTTGCCTGAGAGGGGATATGATAACATTATACAAATATATTCAGGGCCAATACAAACCATTGTGTGGAAATCTATTCACAAACCGGACTTTACATAGGACACAAGGCCATGCGTTTAGACTGGAAGAAAGAAGATTTCGTCTAAGGCAAAGGAAAGTTTTTTTTTTGTTTGTTTTTTCTGTAAGAACAGTCAGGATGTGGAATTCTCTGCCTGAAGAAGTGGTTTTATCAGAGTCCATACAGATGTTCAAACAGCTACTAGATGCATACTTGCAAAAACAATATTCAAGGATATAATCTTTCAATGTAGGGTAATAACTGCTTGATCCAAGGATAAATCTGACTGCCATTCTGGGGTTAAGAAGGAATTTTTTTCCTAGCTTGTTGCAAAATTGTGCTTCAAACTGTTTTTTTTGCCGCCTTTTGGAGGAAGGCTGAACTTGATGGACGCAAGTCTCTTTTCAGCTGTGTAACTATGTCTGCCTGTAACTGAGCATGTGTGTGAGAGAGTGTCTGCCTGTAACTGAGCGTGTGTGTGAGAGAGAGTGTCTGCCTGTAACTGAGCGTGTGTGTGAGAGAGAGTGTCTGCCTGTAACTGAGCGTGTGTGTGAGAGAGAGTGTCTGCCTGTAACTGAGTGTGTGTGTGTGAGAGAGTGTCTGCCTGTAACTGAGCGTGTGTGACTGCTTGTAACTGTGTGTGTGTGGTTGTGACTGTTTGCCTGTAACTGAGCATGTGTGACTGTCTGCCCGTACATTTTGTGTGACTGTCTGCCTGAGTGTGATACTGTTTGTCCGTGTGTGACTGTAACTTTGCCTGTATGTGATTGTAACTGTGTGTGGTTGTGACTGTCTGCCTGTAACTGAGCATGTGAGACATACTTAGTCTGCCCATCTGTAATGCTGGGGAGGCAGTCTGGCACCGCTGGCTGCAGATCATAAGTAGCTGCCTGTGTGTGTGTGTGTGTGTGTGTGTGACTGTAACTTTGTGTGTGTGACTGTCTGCCTGTAACTGAGCAGCCTGGCACCTTTGGTCTGCACTTCTGCTGGCTGCAGACCATAAGTAGCTGTCTTCCTAGCTCTGGCCAATCAGTGTGTTGCTGTGGATTATTATAGGCAAGCTCTGACACTGTTAATGCCTAAGGTAAAGAGGCAGTTACTCATGCACCCAGTGAAGGGGCAAACCAGGTTCCCAGCACACTGGAACACCATAGATCAGCATTCCACCTCTTACTGCAGGTTAACAACTGGGAAGGGAGAATTTATATTTTAAAATAATTATTAATGTAATAATCCCCTATACAAACACGCATACATGGATGAAGGTGTATGACGGGGCGGGCGCTGTGAAGATTTTTTTTTTTTTTTTTGCACATTGTGCCTAATGGCATAAGGCCACCTCTGCTCGCAGCGATCCATTCCTCAGACTGTAATACCACATGCATGGTCAGCTTTAACTGCTGCACTACCCAGCATAGATTTAATTTATTTTCTGTTGTGCTCAGTTATGCTGAAGCTGTGTAATGCATTGATATGGAATTTCTTGTCACGGATGTGAGCTTAGTGAACCTCTCTTTTGAAATCAGACATCCCCTGCAATTCTCCCTCAAAGAGATATTAACAAATAGAAGCTCCTGTGCACACAATATTTTAGATTTGCTCCATGTAACCATTCTTTTTTTGTCCTGTATTCCAAGTTTGCAGTGTTTCCCTTTTTGATCCAACAATACTACTTTACATTATGGTTCCTTTGAAATGTCCTGCAATTGTTTTGTTTTTTTCCCTGTAAATCAATATTATAATTTTTTTGGGCATCACTTGTAAAATTACAGGCATACAACTTGTTTACATTCAACAGTAAAATAGGCATGCCATACACAATAAACAATGTTCAATCAAGTACAGTGGCTTGCATCTTGAGTCTCCATCCCACACCTAATTTATTTCAGTGGTGTAGTAAGTGGTTCTATAATAACAATCCAATGTAACTATTGCCTCAGACCACTTAACTCATTGTCATTTTATTTTGAAAACATAGTATATGTGTGGTAAGAAGTGTTAAACTGAAACCTAAATAAATTTATAATTAACCTGCACAAAAACAGGAGGGAGGGGTGTAAACCATTAATTTACCAGGGTAAATCTCTGACCCTGTAGCCCAAGGACCAGCAAAGCTAACGAAATAGGCCTTGACAGAGATAGGGACAGGCATATAGGCTAAGGAGTTTTTATTGGTTAAGGTTCGTGGGGACAGGGGGTGGGGGTGGGTTATGTGGTTTCATATAATAGCGGACATTTTAGATTAGGGGCCATTTTAATCATCCATACTTGCCTGTGGTTATATGCTGCAGGTTTGTGTGGTGTTTGCATTGTCTTTCAGATGGATTCGAATGTGGAGGCTCTGATGGAGAGGCTTCGTTCAGCTGTTCAGGAGAGGGGTCTGGCCTGGCTTCGGGAGTGCTTGGAGACGGCTCCAGTTCCAGGGCCTTCATCTGCACAGGCAGGATGGCCCACGAGGCAGACAGGGCCGCCGCAGGGTCTGAGTCAGAGTACGTTACCCAGGCTACCAGCATCCGGAGAGGTGGATCAGGGCAGTTTGAGGAGCAGCAGGAGTCCTGGCATGCAGGAGCGGCAGAGGAGTGCAGCTGCGAGTGAGCAGGGAGCCCCTGTTATGGACAGGAGGCAGCTCATGGCAGTGAATGTCAGAACGGCCGCAACGTCACCTACTGCAGGCCTTGGAGGCATGGGGAGAGCTGCCGGTACTGGGAGAGAGTCGGTTGGCGGTCAGGCTACACCGGGTGAGTCAGGCACCGGGGGTCCTTTTGTCACATTTGTGGGGCAAGGGGAATACTTGGCAGGGGGCTCTACCACAACTTCTGACAGCTCAGGCAGAGCTGGGACTAGTCTGGGCGTCAGGGACAGCAGCAGTGAGTCTCCAGCTGGTAGAGTTGACAGGGAGCTCATTGGGACAAGTTCCTTACGGGTGGGCAGCTCGCACCGCATCCAGAAGCATGATGTCAGATCTTCAAGCGTACTGTCACTGGGGGAGGCTGGCAGGAATGTTAAGCGCAGATCTAGGAGCAGCAGGCGTTCCAGGCACAGGCCCCTAGGCAGACTACGCAGCGTTGATAGGGGTTCCTGGGGGGAGCGGCCAGGACGACAGCGGCCTTCATCTTCTGCTTCATTCCAGAAGGATAGGGGGAGTGCTTCCAGGTCCGACAGCGGGAGCTCCCCGGATAGGAGATATACTCAAGAATCAGTAGGTTGTGATGGACGTAAGGGCCAGGATGACATGCAAGGCAGGAGGGATTCGAGGCGGGGAGCTTGCTTGGAGGATGTGGATGGCCTGCCCAGTTTCTCTTCTCCTTGCAGGTCTTTGTCATGTTCTCCCACGGACCAGAAACTGGTCCAGGAAGCAGGTCCTAGAATGCTGACGTTTATTCCTGGGTCCTTGGACGGTCGTGAACAGACTGCAGCACCACAATCACTACCCCCTGGGGGTTCAGCTGGTGAGTCACCATCTGCTCATCATTCTGGGAATCTTTCACAGGGTCTCAGGGTTTTTCTAGACAATTGGAGTGCAGGACAGGGTCAAACGTAGAGTTTTGGGGAATTCTGGCACCGGTGCAAAGGGTTTTTCACAGTTGTTAGATATGGGAACAATTGTCACGGCGGTGGCATCGACGTCCGAGATTACGGAATTAGGATGTAAACGCATTGGCATGGTGGGTAGCATTCCGGATGCAGAGTGCCAAAATATGCAAAGTAAAAAGTTACCAGAAGAAAATATCAATCCTATCTGGTAGGTAGGAAGGTTATATAGTGTTCTCACAAAAGGGGCATGTAACTTGTCTAATCCCAGAAGATTAACCCACACCTAAGGTTAGAAATACTAAAATAAATATAAATAGCAAATAGAAAAAGATTCAATTGCTGTTACCAGGAGATAGTTATTGCCACTTCACGTTCTCAAAAGAATATATTTCTGTATAGTTAAGTGTTGATATATTCTTTTGAGAACGTGAAGTGGCAATAACTATCTCCTGGTAACAGCAATTTAATCTTTTTCTATTTGCTATTTATATTTATTTTGCCAAAATTTGCAAGTCTAGTTTGCGGGGCCTCTCGGTTGTCACTTAAAACAGAAATTAAAAGAAAGGATCTGGAAAGGTGAGTTTCTGGAGATTTTCTCACTTCTCCCATTGGAGGATTATCTCGATCTAAAAGAGGAAGCTAATAAGGAGGAAGAAAAGAGACGGAGGTATAGTAAGATACCAAGGTCGTTCAGTAATTGGTTGCACGCTTTTTGCATTTTGGTTAGAGTTTTGGGTGAAAAATCTTTGGAGCTGCGCTCTCAATTTTTTTTGCTACCTTGATGGTGTATGGGAGGCATACCGGACATATAGGGGATTAGCTTGGTGGTGCTACGATGAACAATTTCGGCAGCATCTCTCGGTGAATCCAGATATGCGGTGGGACCAAATGAACCTGCTACTCTGGATCTAGTTAAAAATGGTGCAAAAAGTGGCTACACTCTTTCAATCCAGGGCCGGCACAGACTCTGCCACTGTCTCGTCAGCCTTACATAAAAAAGGTTTCAGCTGACTCTTCAATGAAGGGCAGTGTAAGTGGGACACCGCGTGTAGATTTAAACACCAGTGTTCTGGGTGAGGTGGAAAACGTGGAAAGACGATCACCTGGTGTGGGCCAGGTTCTGCAACGCCATCTACTTCCACTGGGGTTGACGCCAGTGAGGGTCGGCGCTATGCTGCCTTGGCTAAACCGTTATGTTAACCAGGCAGATGCAGTCCTACTGAAGGGAAGGTTTTATGAATGACTTCCGTTTCAGGACAGGGTTTTGGATCAGCATTTCCATAATTTGAAATCTGTTGTGGAGTTTCCATATGTGTTCAGGGACAAATTGGGAAAGGAGGATGGATGGGCCCTCTGAGGACCCTCCACTACCCAATCTTCATTGGGGGTTGTTCTTAAGAAGGAGCCTGGGAAGTACCGTCTCATACATCATCTTTCCTACCCAAGAGGGTCATCAGTGAATGATGACATTGTTGCTGCCTTATGCTCAGTGTCCTACTGTGGCATTACTTGCCTCCAACGAGCTGTGAAGACCCTGTGCCTCCAAAAAGTGATCTTCTACGTGGACAACATGTCAGTGGTATCTGCGGTTAATCTGTTATCTGCCTCTTCCATGCCAGTTCTTTGTTTGTTGCAGCGTTTTGTATTGCTTTGCATGCAGCTTAATATTGTTTTTCGGGCGCGTCGTGTGCCTGGTTTCTTGAATATCATTGCCGACGTGCTTTCTCGTGGGAGAGGTTTAGAGCGGCGGCTCCCGGAGCGCAGAAGAAGGGTCAGGCCTGCCCAGTCGACGTGTGATAACTCGGGATCTCCTGTTTGTATGATTGATCAAAGAGTCTTTGGCTTCTAGTACTTGGTTGGCATGTCAAGGTGTGGAGGACATAGGATGAGTCACATGTGTGTGCTGGAGGACACAACTTAGCTGAGGTATGGTTGGATATGCTGTTATGGTACTTGTGTGGATTGTTCTCTACTGGAGCTTTGCCTTCGGTGGTAGATAGGCATATGGCGGATTTAGCCTTTTTTGTTCAAGTTAAATGATTGGAAGGACTTCACCAAGAATTTTCTAGTTTATCAAACATTGAAATGTTTTCGTAAGGGTAAGAGAACACCAGACACCCGTAGGCCGGTGTCTTTTAACCTTTTACACAGTTTAATAGGGGTGCTGCTGGATCTCTGTTTCTTCCACCATGAGGTTTTATTGTTCATGATTGCTTTTGTTTGGACATTCCTTGGGGCTTTTCAGGTGAGTAAGTTAGTTAGTGGGAAGGTGGAAATCCGTGAGGTTCCAGTCCTAAGTTGGCCTGGACCATTTGGTTTAAAATTGGGTTGGTATATTTATCTGCTTGTCTGTGGTAACATGTTGTCTTTCTTTTGTAGGTCGGGTCGCCTGGTTGGTGGGCCACATCCATGGGGCGCAAGAGAGAGCTGCAGTTGCACATTATGGAGAACAGCTGGGCTTTCCACGGTCTTTGTTACAACTGTGTTGGTTTAGTTTTCAAGGGTTTAGTTGGAGGGAGCTTTCTTTTGAGATTTTCAGGCTGCTAGGTTCCAGACAGTTACCAGATTTTCTTTTAATCCATCCTGGGGGGAATGATTTAGGTAAAGTGCCTCAGAAGGACTTGGTGCAATGTATGAAGAGGGATCTGGATAAGATGAAGAGTCTTGCTCCAAGTGTATTGATAATTTGGTCAGAGATGGTGCCCCGTTTGCGTTGGCGTAATGCCCGTGATCCTGTGGCAGTGACCAAGTGTCGAGGGAAGGTTAACAAGCTGTTGTCAGTTTTTGTTAGACGTATAGGGGGAGTAGTTGTACGGCACTGTAAGTTAGAAACCATGCTTCCTGGTTATTTTAGGCATGATGGGGTGCACCTCTCTGACATAGGGAACGATTTCCTTAATATGGGTTTTCAGGAAGGCTTGCAGCGCGCATTGGTTTTGCGGGGGTGGGGCGCTCAGATGTCTTGAGGAGTCAAGCTCTAAGCTAGGGGAAGGGGTGGATTAGAAATCGGGGGTAGGTAGCTGGTATGTTTGAAGTGCGGTAACAAAATTTACATGGTTTAATTAGGTAGGTTGGAGCCCATTGGTGGCTTTCAAACTGGGGGTTTATGGGGTATCTCGGTATACCCATACAATTAAATCCTTTGGAATATGACTCCTGTTGTGGCTGTGTTTTGTTTTCTGTTATTCATATATTGTCATTTCCAGTGGGTATAGTACTGCATATAATATACACCCCCACCTTTAGCAGTACTATACCCATTAGAAATAACTATATAAGGTTGATCATACCATTCCACCAGTGGTGAAAAACAAGGTAGGAAGAAATTGACATGATCTAGGCCAGTGTTCTCCGGCCTGGGCCTCGTGGACCACCGGCAGTCTGTTTTTTTTTCAGTATCTCCATTGGAATAAAACAGGGAAATGCATAGATTCTGGACTGTTGGTGGTCCGTGGGGACTGGGTTGGGGATCACCATTATTATACTCCTTAAAGGGCAACTGTCACTTTGCACGATTTTTAAAGTTCTGTTTACTTATCAGTACATTTAAGAAAATGTTTGTGAGGTGTGAAAAATAAATCTAAAATGTAGAAATCTACACCTCTTTATCGTACAACTGGGCGCATCCATCTTAGCTCCCTGTCAATCACTGCTATAAGCTCTGTCCTCTGCATTTGACATCAGCCCTAGAGAAGGCAAACAGAGAAGAGGGGAAATGAAACAATGTTTCTATTTCTCCTCTACAGTTTGATTGCTTGCCCTGGCTTTACCTGTCCGAGCTTGATTACGAGATTACGTTATTTTCTCAATCTTTAAAATAAAATTAGCACAATTTACCTATGATTTTCTTCGTTTTATTCAGTGGTGTAAATTCCAGATAAGTGACAGTCCCCTGTTAAAATAATTACAATTAAATAGCTTTTTATCCCCCATCACGTAAAAGCTACTGAAATGGGTTTAGTCAATTCTAAAGCTTATTTCACTTATCAAGCAAAAGCACCTGTTTATCAACAGAAGACATCCTTTATCTCTTCATAAGGCCATTCTTATTTAATTCACAGTTTATTCACTAAACCATTTGTAGTGAACTGCACGATTAAAGTAATCATACCCCAACGGCTACGGTAGCAGATTTGCATAATTTTTGCCAACATTTCCCAATTATTTTCAGTTCACTACGACATAGCATATAGTGGATAAACCCTATAGAAAAACATTATTCAATTTATTAAACAAAGTAATCATCTGTGATCTATTGTCAAACTTTTTTTAAAAAACTTTTTTAAGTCTAGAAGTATCAAATATTTGCTAAAAATCTTAAATATAGATAGATAGATAAATAACACTATACTTGAAATTTAAACAATTAGGCAAAGTACCCTGTTCAGGAATAAATGACCCGGTTTGATTAAACTGACACTGTGATAATAGAATAACATTGTAATACATGTTTGTACACATTATATAGAGAAAGTGACTTCTATAGGTAAAAGAATTATCTTGCTAATCAGAAGGGCCCTTCATGTTAATATTGAGCTGCAGCAGAAAAAAAATATATATATTACATTACAGAAGATAAGAAACTCAAGCTTAAACTGTTATATATTAGATCAAACCGAATAAAATGCCCCCCCAAAAATCTTAAAAATGTGAAATTTGTTTTGTTTGTTTTTTGCTAAATACTGCATACTGCAACTTTCTTAATAATGAGCACTTCCGAGTTCGTTATTGATTGTTATACAATGCCTGAATTTTTTTTTTATATGTTTTGTATGTTTTCTTATGGTTCTTACATAACGTTTAAAGAAAAGGAAAAAAAAAGTTATAATTATTATATCTAATTTTTTTGTACAAGCCTTTCAGTGCCAAAGGGGAAATATATTTTACAACCATTCACTATTCTACAAAGATTCAAGTTAAAGGTTTCATTTTTTCAAAATTTCTTTTGTGAATATTTAAACTGTAACTTGGCTGATTTAAAATAAAAAAAATAAATGTTTTATAAGTCTTGGAAACAAATATTCAATTTCTAGTAGTATGGTAAAATTAGTTTACTTTACCATATCACATACAGCGCTGCCTTAACTACAACATGCTCAACAGTAAGCCTTCTAGATACTTCTGGATACCAATAAGAGTTGTAGAGCCAAGAGTTATAGGACAACCTTTTTAAGAACAATGTAACTTAAAGGTTTACTCCAACCCTTTTTCTTTATACGCTCAACTGTGTTTATAGGGCCATGTTGGGCATTTGTCACTAGTCCCTCCCAACCCTATGTTTTGTAATAAAAGCTGTAAAATAAACTAATCTTGAATCCAAAAAAAAAAGAAATAACTATATGTATATATTATATATATACACACACACAAAGCAAGGAGGTGCACTCACAGGTCTTGTTCCAAAGTGTAAATTTATTTAATGTTATTCAAGTGATGTCCCAATCGACGTTTCGACCCCT